CAAAAGGCGCAGCGCGGCAGAGAAAGTCCTAATTACTGAATTCCTAAATTCCTATCTAGTGCGGAAAAGTAAAAAGCATACATTCCAGAAAGAAAGTCCAAAATCCCGAGAGCCATCGGGGCTCGACAAAATTCGAAAAAGATTCAAAAGGAAATTCAAAAAGAACGAAACAATTTCCTGCGCGATGTCCGCGGCCAAAAGATCGAACCCCAAACGAAAGAAACGACGCCAACATTTATTAATCGCGCGCGTGGTGGCGCGCCAGACATCCATCCGACCAATCGCCCAGCCGGTCGTCCCCGGACACACCCAGCCCCGAAGAAGCGACGAAAAAGACGAAGAAACAAGGGTACTGATGCAATTTTCCACCGATCCCGATTTCCCGTAAGTGGCCCAATCTTCCCAGCTTAGGACCCCTCGTTGCAACCGCGCAGAAGTTCGCGCGTTACAGAAAGTGGTTCGTCACAATCCTTCCCGCCAAAAGCCAGCAATGGCACCGGCGCGAAGAGGGAGAGAGAGAACAGCAGGAGAAGGCGTTAGCGGGCAATCGGCGACATCGACGAGAGTAGCCTAATTATTAATAAATAATCCAGATTCAGAATAATTTCGTGTGTTGTAATAATTATTATTATTTATTTATTTATTCTTTTTAGCTCGAACTTAACTTTTATTACATCACAAAAAGGGACGAGGCCGGGGACCTCACAATTCAACCCGGAGTAGACCAAGCTGGAAACCGGGTCGAGCATCCCATCATCCGCCCCTTCCCGGCCAACACCGAGACTGAGCGACAACTTCTCTGTCCATAAAAGGAAGTAAAAATCACTTCGCATCAGATACCAACTACCTACTGTCTGGGAGCCTTACCCAGTGTTCGCTTACAGGTCAGCCAACAACAACCAACCTGGGAGTAGCCCAACAAAATATCACTCGGCTACTCCCACTCTCTTTCTGAAACCCACTCCACTTAAGGCCTACATTCGGCTCTCTAGCTACTTCCCAATTCCTTCCCTAGCCACGGGCCAATAACTAACTTCTCTTCATCTGCGACCTTCGTCAGTAGGTTATCAATTGCCCAAGTATTCTGGAACCACCATTTCCCTTTTGTGTGCCATTCTGCCCGAATGACCCTCCTCACGCTGGCCTTGAGCAGGCTCTAAGCTTTCTCCGCCTGCCAATATTCTGTTCTAAACAGGGCGTCATTCCTTTCTGTCCAGAGCACCTCCATTATTATACCTCTGCAAGTTTGTGCAACATATCCCCACCCTCTCCTACAGTCCTGCCAACCCTCCATCTTCCCTGTCAATATCCACAGATCCGGCCAATCTGATGGTTTATCTGCATAACGTCGTAGTAGGTTCTTCCAATGATGACGCCACCACTGCCACAGTCTCCTTGAGAACGGACAGTGTAACCACAGATGTGGAGTGGTCTCCCAGGCCCACTTGCATCTTGGACATGTCTGCGAAATTTCCATCTGTCTTGAGGCTAACCAGTTGGCTGACGGTGTTACCTGTAGTGACTGTAGCCACAACAACGCTGCGACTTTCTGGTTTGTCATTTTCTTCAATTGTTTCCATAATAAGCGCAGGTCTGCCGGTAGCATTGCCCTGGGACAGTAATTGTCCCATCTCCTAACTGCCAATGTCGTGGGAGATTTGATAAGTTTGCTCCTTAAATGTTCCCTGCCTACCTTTGTTTCAAAGAAGGCTAGAGGGGTAGGGCCTTTGTCCTGCAAACCAACTTTCCAACCATACGTGAAGGGATCCACTTTCTTTAGGGAAAGTGGGATCCCTCCTTGACAGAATTCTTTACCATTCCTGTCCACTGAGACCCACACTCTGACTTCTTCGAGGTCCGGCGTCAGGGCCACAGTCCTTTCTTCTATAAACTTCAGTTTCCTGGTTAAATCACTACTTACACCATTGCCCGGTGCCGGTCTCCATACCTGAACCTTCATTTCCTTCTGTTGACCATGCGACATCACTCTCCACAGAAGCTCTTTCTGAGACGGATCTCTAAACCAAGTATTTTGTGCCGGTTCCGAGTCACCTTTCAATAATGATTTCCAATGCTGAGGCACTGACGTTGTGTCTTCTCGGGAGTCTGGACCTCAATAGCGAAAGGGGGATCCAATCATTAGCAGAGTCATCCCACAAGTCACCAACCTTCAGAATCCCGTTACGAGACCAGCATCCTCCGAAACTTCCAGCCGACTCAGATGCTGAGAAGGTTGAGCCATCCGCTCTCTTGATAAAAACCGTTATCGAACAGCAGTTCATTCATCACCATGCCCTTGGAGGTCGGCGATGTGTGTTGTAATAATTATGTAAATCGTTTCCCAGACAAAAAAAAATAAAAATAAATAAAAATAAAAAAATTAATCGCCAGGACACAGAGTCAACGCCTGGAGCATGGTCGCACTAGCAGCGGGGATTGGATTAAGATACTGAATATGGGCGTGTTTTAGGGAGAGATGCAGAAAAGGAGTTCAATCTCGATTTTCTGCACTTGTCCACAAACGGGGCTAAATTAAGGCGTTCAATGCAATCCTCTTTGCCACCGTCTTCCCGCAAAGACACGCACCCTTATTTTGGCTGTATCTGGCCGGAAATATAGCTTGTATGCATTCATTTTTAGGGTGCGTTATGTTTGGGGGAAGACGGTAGTGAGACCTCGCCCCAGGACATCCAATACCTGGAGTCGGAGCCTGGAGAAGGCGGGCAATTTAACAGAACGCTGTTATGTTTTTTCTTAAATTTCTTTTATATATCAATATTCAAATCCACCTCTGCAGCAACGTAGTCATACGGTCTCGTTCCACTACTCGGGAAATGCACAAAAGACAAAAAGTCATGGCGATGTATCTTTCCTTGTTCTTGGAGAAGATTCACTCTTGTTTTGCACATTTCGACAGTGATTGGGTCTCATTCCACTACCATCTGCTGTACTATTTCGGATAGTAGGACTTTGCTCCACTTAGGG